ACGTCACGGCTATACATTATCAGAAATAAAGAATTGCTCTATTGTGTTTCATTTGCCATGAATCTGTATTACATTTTCACGTTGAATTCGGTAACAATAAATCATGCAACTATTCGGTGTTGTGGGGTTTGTGACGTAAAAATGAAAGCATAATAATAACTAACTAAACTCAAGAACCACAGGGAGCATGTGTCATTCTCAGGCAAGTGTGTCGTTCGCGTGTTTTAGTGTAGAACGATGCGCGCATTCACGTTCCGAGCCAAAAAGGTCAGAAATTATGGGAAAACAGATCAGGAAATGCTCTTAAAGTGTTAGATAATGTCATATAATGAGTGAAAACAAATGGTGAAAAAAATAATCTTTGGCGGGGATCTCACCCGTCCTTTTACTGACTGGATTAACGTACCCTAGACGTTCATCAAAATACAGTAAGACAACACGTGAGAGCTCATATTAATAATTAGTATAATTATCTTGACGACACACCTTCAAATATAACCAACGTCAGAAACATTTGTGTTTTGTTTGTTATGCTTGTAAAAGAACACCGGAATTCAACCAGCGTTTAATATTGATTGCTGCGTAATCACTCCTGTTTGGTGGTACTGCACATGCGCAATTACGACAATAATGTCTTGTTAACTTACCTCGGTAGGATCCTTTGTACCACCCCATCCCATACATAGTTCTTGTATCGTCAATTGGATAGGTCGGTTTATACAAACAACACGTGCTGCTCTGTGTGAATGTCGGCGTGTAAGTATCACGTAAAGCGCCCTCATCTACAATCTGATCACCATCTTTGTTTTTTCCATATCTTAAATGAAACTTCATAAATTCTGCCATGTCGACTGCATTAGAAAAGATGCCCGCCGCAGGTGCAATCTCATCAAGGATTCTATACATTACAGAGGATATCAGATTATGGTGCGTGTCAGCATGCAACAGAACTTATGATATGAGATTCAGTATTTAAGTAAAATGTATAAGTGTCTTACATATTACGCAATCATTACTAGTGGGGCACATGCAACTTTTTCTGTATTTGTTCAGAACTCTAAATTCATGTATAACGCTGCTGCCTTAATAACAATTGTAACACTAAATGAACACACACCGGGTTCATGCTTCTCATAAACACAAATCATTGAATCAGTTGAAAATAATATTACTATGTTTATTTGATCATTATGTAAAAAGGCTACTGTACTTTATATGTAATACAGTGGAAACTATAGCAATACAGTGGGAACAATAGCGGACACAATAGTGGAAAACACTAATATAAAGTGCTATTTGCATTACGCCTATGATGTCCAAGGTTACACGGCATATCACGATGTGTTTACGTTTTAGTACTATATCGGTAACCTTGACAAGACTTAAAAGTTATGAAAATATAAAACGCAGTTAAGCCGCTTTATTTATTAGTATATTTGTATTATGCATATATAGGCGTATGCCGACAAGCTTTAGGAGGTGTTCGTTGGTTCGAATCATAATGTATATATGCGCAATGCAAGGGAACTGCTCTTAATCATATTTTGTGAAAATTACAATCTGGAACTGAAAAAACAAAACATAACCAATATGTGGTAAAGTTATATTACCGTGCGCTGCCCGTTATTGAAACGCCACATTCTCATTGGTCAATCGGTACCACCTGTATCCCTTCATTAAACAATAATGAATCCCAAACAGCGCCATATTGGGTGAGGAGAAGGCCGGGGTCGATGGCAATTGCACATTATCGCGTCTAAAACTATTTCGAATCCAGTGTGACACCGTAGGGAATACATTATTGCTGTTATAAATCACTTCCACCAGAATTGGACAGGTTTATTTAAATTTGTGGGCTTTTTTGTTTAAATGAATTTACTTGCGATGAGAAGTGTATCATGTGATAACGTAACACTATCAGGGGAAATTCTTCTCCTCGGGGTTCTCCACACTTGCCAGGGGGGAATCTCGTCTCGTCTCTCTATCGCGTCCCCTTGAGGTACGGGATCGGGAAAGTCACTTATACTTTACAGTCAAATAAGACGCACACAACGAAACACGTTTCAACTCTCGTCTTAGTCGGTCTTTCGAGCACTCTATAAGACACGGCGCCCTGGGGGAAAATCCCCAAGACTATCGCAAGACTGACCCAAGACTCTCTTAGACTGCGTCAACACTCGTCCCCAAGGCTCTCCAGGACTGGACTCGACTGCATCTATCGTGCTGTGCTCCCCAAGACCAACTCAAACTCTCTTTATTCATTTTCAAAACTCTAACCAATTACAAAACAGTAAAAAGACTCTAGGGCGTAACCTTCAATCATAAAGCCAATCACACTAAGTACTGAATACGTCATATCTTTTGATTAATCGTTCACTACATTAATAACTACGGATACCAACTGTCAGAAATCGTAGTCAGAATAGCGACGGTTATCTCGTAATTAGTTCCAAATCACTGAGCCAAGTTCCGTCCAAAACTTCAAATAGGCCTAAACGATGACAGACATAACACAGCAATTCGCTAATAATCAGCTAATTAAGTCGGTCAACAGATACGCGAAAACTAATTCATGACAACACCACAGACGACATAAAAACTTCTAATTCTGATAGTGGTGGTTAACACACAAGAATGGGCTTGGCGTCGTCATTTGTTACCAAAACAATACACGCCAAATCATACTTTACATTTAAAAATGATTTCGCAGTTGGACTGGGGAAAAAGAATACAAGGAAACATCAACGTAACTTGAAGTCTATGGGAGCCTTGTAGGCCAATCAGATTGGTTCTCGTCACAAGCAGTTAGGATTCCTGGGTCTCAAAAAAGTAACACAACACCTAACAGTTAAAGCGGTGAGGTCGTCATCTGCGCACGAGCGAGAATTCACTCCCAAGCGACGATATCAACGCACGCTCAAAACGCAAAGGCTGTTTGTTTGTAAACAACGATACGTTCAGGCCGTCTGACGCATGCGCAGATGACGACTCTCCTGCTTTAAGTAAAGTTTATTTTCACAGTGTGATTCTATTTTGTATGTATTACTATGTTAAAATGTGTTTCACGTGTGAAATACTTCTTTTATAAAATACACTTGAAATGTGAAGATACAGCAATATAAACGTGGAGTTACCTGACCTGCGCTGCTTCATCAACCTCTATCCAATCACCCAGTGAATCGATTCTAGAGTAGCATGTCTTTGACCAATCAGAAGACGACATATCAGCACTGACCCGCGACGACACCATACCTAATGACGACGTCAGAAATTATATCAAAACCGGTGTGTACATTTCATGAATACGTTTCTGATTGGGCCACATATCTGACGCATATCATATATTGCAGACTCATTGGATCCTCGTTCATGACGCGCACTGTCGCTGACTCGCCCAAAATGTGAATAAAATGACGAATTGCATAATGTACTCGCCCATCAAATTGTGTATTGGAACCATGCTCACATTGTTAAAATATTGATATGCTACGATTTTAAAGGGCGGTGGTCGTTGCGCCACCCATGCGCGTAATATATAGGCCTCATATACACGAAGATGGTGACTTTGACTGTTGCGCAGATAAACGAGTACAAGCCGAGACGCTACCTAAGCTTTAATCAGATATGTTTAGGTGATTGGAAGGTATCGAAGGAGTCACCGGCGGTAATCAGTGAAAGTCGCGCCCAGGTAAAACCTCATACACGTGATTTCCATTTGAAGAGCGCATTGGATTGTGGGAAAATCAATGTTTATCAACACAAATGTCGTACATGCGCAGCGCAACAACCATATTAGAAAGTATACTAAAACATGTGCGTCTTCTTTGGTTTATGTGCCCTGACGTCGGCAAAACGCACATCACAAAACAGGGAAGGTAATGTTATACCGATGTCTATCTGTGTGGTTTTATGTGTCGTAACCATTCAATGACAACGATTTAAAGGGGG